GAGTATCAAATTATTTAGATAAAGAAAAATTGGATATCAAATTGGGTTGGAGGAGTATGGAAGAAGTGAATGTTTTCAGATACTTGGGAGTTGACGTGTCGGCGGATGGATTTATGAAGGATGAGGTTAATCATAGAATTGATGAGGGAAAAAATGTGAGTGGTGCGTTGAGGTATATGTGGAGGCAACAAAATGTTATCTATGGAGGCAAAGAAGGGAATGTATGAAAGTCTAGTAGTACCAACACTCTTATATGGGTGCGAAGCTTGGGTGGTAAATGCAGCAGCAAGGAGACGGTTGGAAGCAGTGGAGATGTCCTGTCTAAGGGCAATGTGTGGTGTAAATATTATGCAGAAAATTCGGAGTGTGGAAATTAGGAGAAGGTGTGGAGTTAATAAAAGTATTAGTCAGAGGGCTGAAGAGGGTTTGTCGAGGTGGTTTGGTCATTTAGAGAGAATGGATCAAAGTAGAATGACACGGAGAGCGTATAAATCTGTAGGGGAAGGAAGGCGGGGTAGGGGTCGTCCTCGAAAAGGTTGGAGGGAGAGGGTAAAGGAGGTGCTGCGGGCGAGAGGGTTTGGACTTCCAGCAAGCGTGCGTGAGCGTGTTAGATAGGAGTGAATGGAGACAAATAGTATTTGGGACCCGACGAGCTGTTGGAGTGTGAGCAGGGTAGCATTTAGTGAAGGGATTCAGGGAAACCGGTTATTTTATATAGCCGGACATGAGTCCTGGAAATGGGAAGTACAATGCCTGCACTCTAAAGGAGGGGTTTGGGATATTGGCAGTTTGGAGGGATATATACTTCTAAACTGTTGTATTCTGAGCGCCTCTGCAAAAACAGTGATTATGTGTGAATGAGGTGAAAGTGTTGAATGATGAAAGTATTTTCTTTTTGGGGATTTTCTTTCTTTTTGGGCCATCCTGCCTCGATGGGAGACGGCCGACTTGTTTATATATATATATATATATATATATATATATATATATATATATATATATATATATATATATAATATACAAAACAACCACTGTGAAAGAATAAAGAAATTCCAAGCGCTTTCGTGACTACTCACATTATCAAGCAACAATGTTCCTTGATAATGTGAGTAGTCACGAAAGCGCTTGGAATTTCTCTATTCTTTCACAGTGGTTGTTTTGCATATTATGAAATCACCTGTTTACTGTGATCTTATTGCATATATATATATATATATAATATATATATATATATATATATATATATATATATATATATATCTCCTCCCTCCCTCCATCTCTCCTCCAGTCCACCACCTCTACGATATCATTTACCTACACGTGTCTACAATATTTGCAGGTAATTCGGGAGTATTAAGCGCTAAGTTATAGACTCCCCGGCTCGCTTAATCTCCCTTTCTCCCCTTCACCCTCTCTTCCCTTTTCTGTCTCCCCTTCTCCCTCTCTCCCAAGGCAAATCATATTTAAGTAGATAGTTGTAAGTCTCTATTGTGGGTCTGTCATCGTGTCAGCGCGTCCAGGCGGAAGGAAGGGAGGACTGGAAGAGAAGGAAGGGAAGGGAGGTCTGTAAGAGAAAGAAGGGAGGTCTGTAAGAGAAGGAAGGGAGGTCTGTAAGAGAGGGAAGGAAGGGAAGTCTGGAAGGGAAGGAAGGGAGGTCTGTAAGAGAAGGAAGGAGGGGAGGTCTGGAAGAGAAGGAAGAGAGGGAAGTCTGGAAGAGAAGGAAGTAAGGGAGGTCTGGAAGAGAAGGAAGGGAGGTCTGTAAGAGAAGGAAGGAAGGGAGGTCTGGAAGGGAAGGAAGGGAGGTCTGTAAGAGAAGGAAGGAAGGGAGGTCTGGAAGGGAGGTCTGTAAGAGAAGGAAGGAAAGGAGGTCTGGAAGAGAAAGAAGAGAGGGAAGTCTGGAAGAGAAGGAAGTAAGGGAGGTCTGAAAGAGAAGGAAGGAAGGGAGGTCTGGAAGAGAAGGAAGGAAGGGAGGTCTGGAGGAGAAGGAAGGGAGGTCTGGAAGAGAGGAAAGGAAGGAACGGAGGTCTGAAAGAGAAGGAAGGAAGGGAGATCTGGAAGAGAAAGGAAGGGAGGGAGGTCTGGAAAAGAAGGAAGGAAGGTCTGGAAGAGAAAGAAGGAAGGAAGAAGGAAGGGGAAAGGAAGGAAGGAAGCAATACAAGTGAAATCCTACACAGTAAACAGTCTACACTCTACTTCTCTCTACTCCATCATTCACTGAATACAAAAACAACTTTTGCTTTGTCGATTCTCTTATTTGCTTATCCAAATATTTTTTCAGTTAATCATCTTTATCATTATCATTATTACAGACACGTATAAGTTCCTTACCACCAAGTATCCAGTGGATACTTGCTGGTAAGGAATTTATCCCTGTATATATACACTGAGAGGTGTATATCTCTGTGTATATACACCGAGCATTTTCTCTTATTCTATTTCGGGAATTAGATATTGACAATGCCTGTGTGCGGGTTAATGAGGCACGTGCAGTCGGTAGACTTCAAACCTAACAGAGTGACTGTCATAAGAGGGGCGAGACGTGCTGGTGGATGGTAATCTCTGAGAGCAGGTAATCTAATTGAGTCACCAGGTGACTCTGTTAATCCTGTGTTATTAAGTCAGTCGCTGTGGGAGCCTGACAACCACTGATTCAGGAGGTGTTTGAGGGATGATTCTCTCTCTGGGAATCTTGGTGGGGTTGTAGGGGGGTTGGGATGGTGGTTTTTACGGGAAGGAAATGGTGGTTTACGAAGGGGGATGGTGGTTGTACTCACCTAATTGTACTCACCTAATTGTGGTTGCAGGGGTCGAGACTCGGCTCCTGGCCCCGCCTCTTCACTGATCGCTACTAGGTCTTCTCCTCGTCTTAAAGCTATGTATGGTTCCTGTCTCCACTACATCAATTGCTAGGCTATTCCACTTCCTGACGACTCTGTGACTGAAGAACTATTTCCTAACATTCCTCTGACTCATCTGAGTCTTCAAGTTCCAATTGTGACCCCTTGTTTCTGTGTTCCCTGTCTGGAACATCCTGTCTCTGTCCACCTTGTCTATTCCACGCATTATTTTGTATGTTGCTATCATGTCTCCCCTGACCCTCCTGCCCTCCAGTGTCGTCAGTCCGATTTCCCTCAACCTTTCTTCGTACGACATTCCCCTGAGCTCCGGAACTAGCCTTGTTGCAAACCTTTGTAGTTTCTCTAATTTCTTGACGTGCTTGACCAGGTGTGGGTTCCAAACAGGTGCTGCATACTCCAGTATGGGCCTGACGTACACAGTGTACAGTGTCTTGAACGATTCCTTACTAAGGTATCGGAACGCTATTCTCAGGTTTGCCAGGCGTCCATATGCTGCAGCAGTTATCTGGTTGATGTGTGCCTCCGGAGTCGTGCTCGGTGTTATACTCACCCCAAGATCTTTCTCCTTGAGTGAGGTTTGCAGCCTTTGTCCAGCTAGCCTATACTCTGTCTGCGGTCTTCTTTGCCCTTCCCCAATCTTCATGACTTTGCATTTGGCAGGGTTGAAATCGAGAAGCCAGTTGCTGGACCACGTGTCCAACCTATCCAGGTCTCTCTGTAGTCCTGCCTGATCCTCATCCGATTTAATCTTTCTCCTTAGCTTCACATCATCTGCGAACAGGGACACCTCCGAGTCTATCCCTTCCATCATGTCATTCACATATACCAAAAATAGCATTGGTCCTAGGAAAGACCCCTGTGGGACCCCGCTCGTCACAGGAGCCCACTGTGATACCTCATCACGTTCCATGACCCGTTGTTGCCTCCCTGTCAGGTATTCTCTGATCCATTGCAGTGCCCTTCCTGCTATACGTGCCTGATCCTCCAGCTTCTGCACTAATCTCCTGTAGTAGTGGTGGTATGTAGGTCTGTACGTTTGTACTCTCTCATCTGGGTGTTTATGCTCTTTTCCCTGGGGTTTGCTTTCCCTAAAGTTTTCTTTCTTTGAAAGTCTTTCCAGGTCTCACGCCAAGTCTTTTGAACTGGAAAGCAAATATTAGAATTTCTCATTACGGAATGTACAGTACAATGAATAGATATTACGGAATTTCGCATGACTTGCCTGTCTTACAGGTTCATGAGACGGAGAGACGAGATAAGGCAATCCTGCCAAAGTGCAAATCATTTAACAGGCTTTCGTTTCACACTCGCGTGACAGAACGACACACAGTGTGTCCGTGGTTCTATCCCGGACAAGGGTGTAAACATTGGACATGGTTTCTTTTACACCTGTTATCCCCATTCACCTAGCAAGCAAGTAGGTACCTGGGTGTTAACCTACTTGTGTGGGTCGCATCCTGGGGGACAAGATTGAGGACCACAATGGAAATAAGACACAATTCCTCGATGACGCACTGACTTGTGATATCCAGGGTGGCTAACCTTCCGGGGGTTAAAAATTCGAACAAAATCTTATTTTATCGTACCTCCCTGTATGGCTGTTCTCTCCCAACATTCTACGGTTATAAATTAGATTTAGAAAAGACTTAGAGAAGTACTGGTTTTCAAACATTGTCGACGCGTGGAACAATCTTCCGAGTAAGGAAATAGAGGCTAAGAAACTTGGTAGCTTGAAAGAGAGATTGGACATATATGTGAGTGAAATGGGTTGGGTTTTATTAGTACCGCAAGTACTGAAGCTTTGGGAAAAGGTTGGACAAATACGTGGGCAGGAATGGGTGGTTTTGAGAAGGACCTTCCTTGTATGGGCCAGTAGCTCTCCTGAAGTGGTCATCCATTCTTACGTTTTTATGTATGTATATTTCACACCTGAAAGGTCGGTACCTCCTTGGATATCTGCTGCCAAGCACGCTCTGGAAACGAGTCCCCTCCCCTCCCACAGTGGAAATGATCTTCCTACTGGACTCGAGGAAGACCCTTGCTGGACTCGAGGAAGACCCCTGCTGGACTCGAGGAAGACCCCTGCTGGACTCGAGGAAGACTCCTGCTGGACTCTAGGAAGACCTCCCGGGGAGTACTCACCCTTGTTGGTCTTGCTGAAGGATTGCGTGAGAGCTCTGGAAAAATGCTCGTCGACAGCTGTTGCCAGGTCCCCGCTGAAGTACGTCAGCACCACGCAGTTAGCAGAGATGTAGTGGGCGTCTGCGTGCTGCTGCTCCCCCTGTGTGGTAACACTGAGAGTCACACATCACCTGGTAACACTGAAACATTATAATTTTAACATGTAAGTCGTTTTTATTAGTGGACGGAGGATCGACCCTCCATTAATCTTTATGCTCACCTCTCTCTCTCTCCCTCTCTCTCTCTCTCTCTCTCTCTCTCCTCTCTCTCTCCTCTCTATATATATATATATATATATATATATATATATATATATATATATATAATATATATATATATATATATATATATATATATATGGTCATTTAGCAAGAAATTTAAAATTAAGTCCTTTATAAAATTTTATCTTATACCTTTAAAGATATATTTTTTTCATATATGTTAATGTAAAAATTAATTTTGTACCAAAAGAACGTTAGGAAACTTACCTAACCTTATTATAACAAGCGCAGTTTAATTTAGCCTAATCCAACTAAATATATTTTTGATAAGTTTACAGTAATTTAATAATAAGCACAACGAAATATATTTGTTTCGTTAGGCTGAGAATGATTTTTGCGAAATTATTGCATACACAAATTTTCGCTTGAATTATTCGGCAAGAAGAGTGTTGTTATTTTAGCCAAAATCGAAAGTTTTACCTATTCGGCACGACATGATATATATATATATATATATATATAATATATATATATATATATATATATATATATATGTAACACACACTGAAACATTATCAATAACTCTAGATCATTTGAGAAAGAACACAATACAATTTATTTGTGAAGTCAAAAGAATTTTGTTTTTGACAACAGAGCAGCTGGGAATGTGATCCTTGTCAGTGTGTTGTATCACAGAAGTGAAGGTGCAACGATTTTCTGGCTACAGTGATTTCTGTTTTCCTTTACTCCCGCTGCTCCATGTTGGCAATATTGACATTTGATGCATGGAATTATCTTGCGTCACTATGCTAGCTTTGTTAATTATTTTGTTATAGCACTTGTCGATTAAATCTACATTTGGACTGGTGTGTGTGTGTGTGTGTGTGTGTGTGTGTGTGTGTGTGTGTGTGTGTGTGAATGATCAAGTATGGAGTTTGCTGAGTGCAGTTATTAGGTTCCATATGCATCATACTTAACTACATTCCGGGATGTCATTATAAACCAGTTTTAAGGCATGTCATTATAAGTTATAAGGCATGGTAGATCATTGTATACTCTCAATGAGTGTACCATTGCAGTATAGGACGATTGGAGGGGTCTACTTTTTCCAGAATGAGGTAGGGAGGTGGGGGGCCATAGGTAAACTCACATTTATAGGCATATCTGATCACTTCGCCCCTCACCATCCTCGAGCTGGCTCACGCCCTGTCTCGCTGAATTTAAGCAACGGCTGCCCTGGGCAGTGGACGCTTGACTACCGTCCCACAGTGTCTTAAACTGACAATTCCCATGCCCCAACCATTAACATTTTAACGGATGTTGGTAATGATAAATATATTACTGACACCTGGCTCTTGTATGTACCTGTACACAAATAACTTGCACGTAAGACAGGGTTACGACGACGTTTCGGTCCGACTTGAGCCATAAGTGGTCCAAGTGGGACCGAAACATCGTCGTAAACTTCTCTCTCCTATGTGCGATTTATTTGTGTATTGTTCCAGTCACGGTATTGTGACTTTTTGTTGTTTATACATCTCCTATACTTTCTCGTTTTGCGGTTTGCTCCAGTGACTGCACCTCCAGCTGGTATCTCGCCCATCTGGTATCTGGCACTACCAGGTACAACAGGTCTTTGAAACCACCTACGTTCGTGATACCAGAACAAAGAAAGAAAAGAGGGTTAGGGACTCCCTATATACCTCGTGATGTATAAATTACCTGGGCGATTGATTTGATGCTCTCTTAGAAAAGTTGTAATTATATATATATCATGTCGTGCTGAATAGGTAAAACTGGTCAGTTAGCAAGAACTCATTTAAAACTAAGTCCTTTCTAAAAAATTCTCTTATACGCTTAAAGATATATATTTTTTCATTTATGTTAATGTAAAAATTAATAATTTTGTACCAAAAGAACCTTAGAAAACTTACCTAACATTATAACAAGCGCAATTTAATTTAGTCTAATCCAGCTAAATATATTTTAGATAAGTTGACAACAATTTAAACAAACAGAACGAAAAATATTTTTTCGTTAGGTTCAGAATGATTTTTACGAAATTATTGCATACACAAATTTTAACTTGCCTTATTCGGCAAGAAGAACGTTGTTGTTCAAGCCAAAATAACAAGTTTTACCTATTCGGCACGACATTACATATATCTTGAAAATTAACTTATATTAATTTGGCAAGCATGACTCCGATCTGGCCTCTTCTGACCTTTTCTAATTCCCCTTTCTAATTTACCTTTTGTAACTAATCTTTTCTAACTCTCCTTTCTAACTAACCTTTTCTGATTGTTTACGACTGACCTTTTCATCCGTTTTGGAAGAATGCGACACTGGTTGCTGTTGTTGTTGCTGCTGCTGTTGTTGCGGCTGCTGCTGTTGCTGCTGCTGCTGTGATGTCACTGGCGAAGAGCACACTCCGGCGTGAGTTGCAGCAGCAGTTGCTGCTGCTGGCGCTGCTGCTGCTGCAGCTGCTGCTCCCGTCTGCTGGTTAGCCAGAGGTGCCGCAGAGCTGCTGCTGGAGGCCTCTGCAGCAGCTGCGGCTGCCGCTGCCGCTGCCGCCGCTGCGAACTGCTGCTGCTGTTGCTGCTGCAGGTCGGGCGTGGGAGGCTGTGATGAGCCTGCTGCGCCTGCAGCGTCCTGTAGTCGGTACTTCTGGGAGAGATGAGAACAGCATTAAACTGACTATCCTGCTCCTAGACTCGCATCATGTTAAACTCTCTCACTCATATATTAACATGCTTTCATATTAGCATAATGCAATATTAACGTGTCATATTTACATAATGTTAACGTCTTATTAACATGCCATATTTACATAATAACATGTCTTATTAACATGTCATATTAATGCTATATTAACATGTCATTAACATGATATATTAATGTTAATGTCATATTAACATTAATCTACATAAACATGATTTTATATTAACATGATGTGGTAGTGGCAGTCCTTGTTTTAACTGAAATTATTAAGATATACATATATAACACCTAAACTAATAATAATAATAAAACTTAGGCCTGGTTCTAAAGGTCTAGTTTAATAAATTAAACGATTATATTAAATGACATCGTTGGCTGAATTATATTTATCTAATATTACAACATATTTCCAACTATCATTTACATATATCTTTGCTTCAAAATAATTCGGGTTATTTAAAAAAGAATGTGGATTATCTTTAATCTCATTAGTATAACATAATTGTCCACTAATTACAGTTGTACCTGAACTTAATTACGACAGATTTTTATAACATGTCTCTTCAGTTCCGATATTAAATTTTCACTAATTTGGGTATTTAATAGCCTTAATCGTAACTTCATTAATATTTAACATTCCCCTAGTCCAAACAGCCTGGTTGATCAGGGCAACCTAGGGAGGCCTGGTCTGGGATCGACTCCAGGTCGCATTTTTAATCCCCCAAACTTTGGTCTTATTGGTGTGTAAACACTGACTGGTACCCATTTCTCATATCCAGCTCTTAATCTAAACACCATAGCTTGTAAATGTAGGTATTTGTATCCCACCCAGGTTTCCTCGGCTTTTAGTTTCGGCTGTCACCATCAATCTAGTTGGTCACAGACCAGTGTCAAGTTGATTGTCACGATGCTAAAAACAATTGGATTCATAAGTTAAATGGTTAGAAATTGTGAGGATATTACACAGACTGGGATAATATTACACAGACTTGGACAATATTACACAGACTGGGATAATATTACACAGACTTGGACAATATTACACAGACTGGGATAATATTACACAGACTGGGATAATATTACACAGACTTGGACAATATTACACAGACTGGGATAATATTACACAGACTGGGATAATATTACACAGACTGGGACAATATTACACAGACTGGGATAATACACAGACTGGGATAATATTACACAGACTGGGATAATATTACACAGACTGGGATAATATTACACAGACTGGGATAATATTACACAGACTGGGATAATATTACACAGACTGGGACAATATTACACAGACTTGGACAATATTACACAGACTGGGATAATATTACACAGACTGGGATAATATTACACAGACTTGGACAATATTGCGCAGACTGGGATAATATTACACAGACTGGGACAATATTACACAGACTGGGATAATATTACACAGACTGGGATAATATTACACAGACTGGGACAATATTACACAGACTTGGACAATATTACACAGACTGGGACAATATTACACAGTCTGGGACAATATTACACAGACTGGGATAATATTACACAGACTGGGACAATATTACACAGACTGGGACAATATTACACAGACTGGGATAATATTACACAGACTGGGACAATATTACACAGATTGGGACAATATTACACAGACTGGGACAATATTACACAGACTGGGATAATATTACATAGACTGGGAGAATATTACACAGACTGGGAGAATATTACACAGACTGGGATAATATTACACAGACTGGGATAATATTACACAGACTTGGACAATATTGCGCAGACTGGGATAATATTACACAGACTGGGACAATATTACACAGACTGGGATAATATTACACAGACTGGGATAATATTACACAGACTGGGACAATATTACACAGACTTGGACAATATTACACAGACTGGGACAATATTACACAGACTGGGACAATATTACACAGACTGGGATAATATTACACAGACTTGGACAATATTACACAGACTGGGATAATATTACACAGACTGGGATAATATTACACAGACTTGGACAATATTGCGCAGACTGGGATAATATTACACAGACTGGGACAATATTACACAGACTGGGATAATATTACACAGACTGGGACAATATTACACAGACTTGGACAATATTACACAGACTGGGACAATATTACACAGACTTGGACAATATTACACAGACTGGGATAATATTACATAGACTGGGATAATATTACACAGACTTTTACAATATTACACAGACTGGGATAATATTACACAGACTGGGATAATATTACACAGACTTGGACAATATTGCGCAGACTGGGATAATATTACACAGACTGGGACAATATTACACAGACTGGGATAATATTACACAGACTGGGATAATATTACACAGACTGGGACAATATTACACAGACTTGGACAATATTACACAGACTGGGACAATATTACACAGACTGGGACAATATTACACAGTCTGGGACAATATTACACAGACTGGGATAATATTACACAGACTGGGACAATATTACACAGACTGGGACAATATTACACAGACTGGGATAATATTACACAGACTGGGACAATATTACACAGACTGGGACAATATTACACAGACTGGGACAATATTACACAGACTGGGATAATATTACATAGACTGGGAGAATATTACACAGACTGGGAGAATATTACACAGACTGGGATAATATTACACAGACTGGGATAATATTACACAGACTGGGACAATATTACACAGACTTGGACAATATTACACAGACTGGGATAATATTACACAGACTGGGACAATATTACACAGACTGGGACAATATTACACAGACTGGGATAATATTACACAGACTTGGACAATATTACGCAGACTGGGATAATATTACACAGACTGGGATAATATTACACAGACTGGGATAATATTACACAGACTGGGATAATATTACACAGACTGGGATAATATTACACAGACTGGGATAATATTACACAGACTGGGATAATATTACACAGACTGGTATAATATTACACAGACTGGGATAATATTACACAGACTGGGATAGTATTACACAGACTGGGATATTACACAATCTGGGATAATATTACACAGACTGGGATAATATTACACAGACTGGGATAATATTACACAGACTGGGATAATATTACACAAACTTGGACAATATTACACAGACTGGGATAATATTACACAGACTGGGACAATATTACACAGACTGGGATAATATTACACAGACTGGGATAATATTACACAGACTGGGATAATATTACACAGACTGGGATAATATTACACAAACTTGGACAATATTGCACAGACTGGGATAATATTACACAGACTGGGATAATATTACACAAACTTGGACAATATTACACAGACTGGGATAATATTACACAGACTGGGACAATATTACACAGACTGGGACAATATTACACAGACTGGGATAATATTACACAGACTGGGATAATATTACACAGACTGGGACAATATTACACAGACTGGGACAATATTACACAGACTGGGATAATATTACACAGACTGGGACAATATTACACAGACTGGGACAATATTACACAGACTGGATAATATTACACAGACTGGGATAATATTACACAGACTGGGATAATATTACACAGACTGGGATAATATTACACAGACTGGGATAATATTACACAGACTGGGATAATATTACACAGACTGGGATAATATTACACAGACTGGGATAATATTACACAGACTGGGACAATATTACACAGACTGGGATAATACACAGACTGGGACAATATTACACAGACTGGGATAATATTACACAGACTGGGACAATATTACACAGACTGGGATAATATTACACAGACTGGGATAATATTACACAGACTGGGATAATATTACACAGACTGGGACAATATTACACAGACTGGGATAATATTACACAGACTGGGATAATATTACACAGACTGGGAGAATATTACACAGACTGGGATAATATTACACAGACTGGGATAATATTACACAGACTGGGACAATATTACACAGACTGGGATAATATTACACAGACTGGGATAATATTACACAGACTGGGATAATATTACACAGACTGGGACAATATTACACAGACTGGGATAAATTACACAGACTGGGATAATATTACACAGACTGGACAATATTACACAGACTGGGATAATATTTCACAGACTGGGATAATATTACACAGACTGTATAATATTACACAGACTGGATAATATTACACAGACTGGGATAATATTACACAGACTGGGATAATATTACACAGACTGGGATAATATTACACAGACTGGGATAATTACACAGACTGGGATAATATTACACAGACTGGATAATATTACACAGACTGGGATAATATTACACAGACTGGGATAATATTACACAGACTGGGATAATATTACACAGACTGGGATAATATTACACAGACTGGGATAATATTACACAGACTGGGATAATATTACACAGACTGGATAATATTACACAGACTGGGATAATATTACACAGACTGGGATAATATTACACAGACTGGATAATATTACACAGACTGGGATAATATTACACAGACTGGGGTAATATTACACAGACTGGGATAATATTACACAGACTGGGATAATATTACACAGACTGGGATAATATTACACAGACTGGGATAATATTACACAGACTGGGATAATATTACACAGACTGGGATAATATTACACAGACTGGTATAATATTACACAGACTGGTATAATATTACACAGACTGGGATAATATGATGAAGCTCTAGAACAGAGTCTTGTTTTCGGAGGTTTATCAATGACTTGATAAATTTCTACACTGAGCGAAACGTTGTCGTAATTGTAGCTTGTTCTAGCAGCTGTATCAATAGATAAGTGAACCGTAGATATAATTCCTGATG